AATCCAACATCACACTGAGCATACTGCCGAGCAACTTTAGGCAAACCCCACCCTCACCCCTCCAGCCTCCCCATCTGCTCAATGTTATAGCCTTGAACACCTTGCAAGCTGCAGCACTAGTGTTGACACAAACTGCACAGTCCCCCTCACTACAGGAAGAGAGTCCCCTGGGAATGGAAGGGAAGGCTTCAGGCTCCCCGAGGACTGCTGACCCTCTGTGCAAGCTGGAGGGGACTCGCTGATGCAGTCACAATTATACATGTTAGCACAAATATTCACCGTTAAGCACGGTCACTCGCATCCCTCTTGAACGCAAACAGACGCGCAGTCACAGACCCAATATCCGAAAAGTACAAACACGTCTGTGGGCTGTGATACCTGAACCGTCATCACAGATGTTGAAAATCTACATCCCTAAACTCTTGAAACACCAAACATTTTTTTTTTTTTTACCTCAAATGCGGTGATCATCACTTGTTTTGCCTTTTCCTTCTATCCCCAACTACCGGAGTTAGACTAGGCAGGTGTGTGCTCCTGTACCTCTAGTAAACAACAGGTGCTCAGTAATATTCAAGGAAGGAACGACGGAAGGAGACAGAGGAAAGAGATCTCCAGGGCTGGAGGTAAATTAACTCGCTGGTGTTTAAGCCTTACCAGGTAACTCCTCAGACAGGAAAACTGTTCTTGGACACAGACCGAGCCTCCCTGACATCGGACTCACACTCTTCTATGGTCTTCAGAGGGACCGAGTTGCCGGGGTGCAGATCACAGGCCAGAGTGGATGCGTCTGGTGATGAGAACGTAGAAGACACCTTGCACGCATCCATTGTTATCTCAAAGACCCCTGGGCTTGCAAAAGGATACTTGGAATGGCCCTTGATCCTGCCTGCCTGGGGTTCCACAAAGCTTGGCTGACCAGGGTGGCTGGGACTTTCTGGGTACAAAATTGGCCCAGCAACTCCAGCCACGGGATCTGACTCATTGCCCTAGGAGTTCAGGTCCTCGGATCCACCCTTGGATCTGCAATGACAAGGCTGTGTTACCTCAGCCTGGTCCCTTTCTCTCCAAAGTGGAAAGTGGAGCCATCTGCTCCGCAGGACCCTCTAGCTCCCGCTATCAGGATTAGAAGCTAATTTAAGTGATAACTTCACTCTTCTGCTGGGGTGAAGCATGGGAGAATTACACCCCCCCCCCAAAGAACGGACTTAATATGGAACTCACAGTTGGGATTGAGAACCCAATGGCCCAAGAAAAGGGATGACCCTGGGGGAAGGGGCAAATGGGGTAGAGGTAGGGAAGTTGCCTCCACAGACCCAGCCAGACCTGGACCCTAGGTACCTCTGCATCTGAACGGGTGGGGCTTCTAAGTTGAGGAGTCCTAACATCATCCACACCTGCTGGAGGGGCTTAGGGGTGGGATTGCAAAGTGAAGGTCCCCTGCAAGCCCCGGCGAACTGACTTGGACAGGAAGGCTCACAGCTGTACCCGCTTACCCTGCCACACACACTGCTTGGCAGTGTCTTGAACAAACCATTTGAAATAAGCTTTTCAGGGTCGCTGCTATTCTGAGCAATCGAAGGGAAAGATTTAAATGTTTTGCCCCCCCCCAAATAATTCATCCTTCCCAGTCCTAAAATCCGTGCAACCAGAATTCTGAAGATATTTCTGCCTGCGTAGACAGAAATGCCCGGAGGTGAAATCGGCCTTAGGCGATTTTCCTACCGGTCCAGACCTCCAAGGCTACGACTTTGCATAATGTAAAGCACGCCCCCCCCCACCCCCGCAAGCGGCAACTCAGAGCAACACCCCAGCAGCCGGCGCCTGCCGAGTCTGATGCGGACCCTCGGTAACCGCACATCTTCCAACAGCTGATGAGGTGAAGACTGGGCCCTGACCACCCCATCCAAAAGGATGACGATGCAACGAAGAGGGAGGAAGGTACGCGGCGCAGTCCCTGCCTCGAGGAGAAAAGCCAAGAATCGGACTGCGAGCGAATTTTTTGCTCTGAGTCCGTGTGGAGCGAAAAGAGCGCGCTCCCGCAGACACCCAAGAATCAAAGCTCCGAGCGCGTAGCTAGGGTCAGAAACAGCCCCCCGGCTGTCACCACCCAGCGCAGCCCGGGGCGCAGGCACCGGAGCAGCCCGCCTCCCTCCCGGGCACCGAGGAACCTCTGGGCCTCCCCCCGCGGCCGCAGGCTTCGGCCGCGCAGCTCGCTCGGCTACGAAAGGAGGCGGTGCCGGCTCCGCCCCGCACCGCGCCGCGCCCACCAGATCGCAGAAAAGTTCGTTCGGAAACCAGAGATGGGAAGCTCTGTCCTCCCTACAAATTCCCTTTTGGTTTGCGCCTGTGCCGCCCTTAGAGAACAGAATAATTCCGCTCCAAATTTCCAGTTAACATTGGTTTTGCTCTCAGATTGCCCTGATAGACGAAAAGATTAGGAAACTGCATTATCCTGCACGGCCTCTGCCCACCTTCTCTCTCTTTCTACGTTTCTCCGGAAGGCTCCGCGCGCCAGCTCCAAGGACACATTTGGGCTGGACCTCAGCATCCTGGCTAGCGCTCCTGGACGCATCTCGGGCCCCTTTTGCACTGCGCGTCGGCATAATTTAAGCGCAACCCAAACACTCTTCGCGTCTCTTTGGCCGGATGCACAGGGTTCGAATTAAACTCCGAGTCGGGTCCGTAAAGACCCCATTCGAGGGGCCTCCTCCCACATGCCCTCAGCACGAAATCCTACGACGAGGCACGCTCCGCGCTCGGAATCTTCTCTCCACACTCAAAATATTTCCCTCGTAAGGTCCCTCGTTTAAACAGTGTCGGCGTCTTTATTCGCCTGACCCTGAGCGGAGGAAAACCCGCCTAATCGGTCATTGTCTGGTCCGCGATCGCCCCCACTCCCGCCCCAATCAGTGTCACAAAACGCCCTTTCAACAGATTCCAAACCCTCTTCACCCCGGCTCACCGAGCCTTCAACTTCATTAAGTGCGCGCTTCGGCGGCGCTGGAGGAGGCGAAGTTTAAATAAACCGGAGCAGAGAGGGAGGGTGGCTGGTTGAAGGGGGCAGAGAGGACTGTTTTTGAAAAGGGGTAAAAAGTTATCAGAGGAAAAGCGCTTTGTAACCACGAAGACGCGCCCGCTGTGGCGAGAACAAATTGGATATGGAGGGGAAGTGTCCGGCCCCCCCTCCCCACCTCAACTCTGGCTCCTGGGTGGTCCGGGGAGCCCCGGGAGAAAAAAAGATGGGGTGGAATTGGCGGTGAAAGGAATTAACCACTTTAATTGGACTGCAAGAGAGAAGTGCGGAATGGCTACCGAGGTGCCTCCATCACCCAAAACAAATACCCTGCAATAAAATAAAATAAAATAGTATGTCTGTCCTTAACGGTGGCTGAGAGACTTATGCCAAAGTTTGAGGATCCAGGTTGTTCTTCTGAGTCATAGAAAGTGAATCTACAAGCTGGGGGAAATTCTGCCCCGGGGAAAAGAAAAGCCCTCCCCCTCCTTGTGGCCTCCAGCCTCCCAGCGCTTGATGAAAAGGAATGAAATTGAACGAAATTGAACGAAATGAAGTGAAATTGACCAGTGAAATTCGCCAATTTTCTTCCCCTTTAAACTGCCCGCTTTCAGCAGCACTCTCTGAACCCCAGGCCGAATTCTTAGCCTTTTTTTTTTTTTTTCTCACCTCAAGAGATGAAGGTGTGCCCTGGATATTTTCTTATTATTGTCACCGATTGTTAGGATCTGCCCCCGCGGAGGCTCAGCTGTCTCCACCCAGACGGCGAGGAAACCCTTAGCGGCCTCTCCGGATGTGATAGAGTATTTCTCTTCTCAGGAGGCTGACCTCCTAAGTAAGTCGCCATACACTCAACACCCACCCTGTGCAGCCACAGGGAGGGAAAAAGCCACTTACCAAGCCCCACTGGTCTGAGAGAAAAATAAATAAATAAAAGTCAAGATCTACTACAGAAATCTGCAATATCCTCATCCTTCCTGTCCCAGGTAGGTCATAGCCAGCTCCTAAGTAACAGGTTCCCCTTTCACATAACTGGAGTTCCAAATGGGCTCCCCTGCTCCCCAGCCTTCTGCAGTGAATCCTTTTCCAGATATTTTTCAAAATCAGTTGGGCATCAGTAGCTTCTCTCTGACTCCCAATCCTCAGCTATAATTATATCTGGCCCTGATATGACCTTTTTGACCCACTGGGAAACTGGGGTCTAGATCAGAGATCTGAAGAGCCAAGGTCCCTAGAAGTCCCTGGAATGGTGTATCTCCCTCGCTTCCAATCTTCTGCCTTTTCCTGGTATGAGCTCTGTAACACACACATAGACACCAAGTATCTAATGCTACCCCCTCCTTTTGCCCTCCCTCCCTACACACACACACACACACACACACACACACACACTTTCACAAAGACACAATAAGGAATCTAGAAGGACCTGCTGCTTTTCCTGGAAATAGTAGTTGTGGAAATATCTATCCACCATCAGATATGAATTCTGTCTGGCTTAATTCCTTCTAGAAAGGAAAAACCAATTGATAAATCTTTTACGCCAAGCTCCAAACTAATAATATCTGGGACTGACATCTTCACGGTAAATGCGATCATGTAAGCTACAAAGTGCTTTATTGGGGGCGCACGCGCACACACATACACACACACTGTCACATTCAACCTTTCTCAAGTGTAAAAAAATGAAATCAGACTCAGCAACGGAAGTCAACTAAGCAGCCAGCCAGAGATCATTATCCCTCTATCAGCAGACATCCCCCCTTCTTGCCATCCATGCTCACCTTACTTCTCCCATTTGATAAAATCATGGGAAGGTGGCCCCCTGCCTTCAGTCTCTCTCCACTCCCACAGCCTCTCAACAAGATGGAGGACTGGCACCTCACCTCTGACACAGGGGCTGCATTCACCATACGCACCTTGAGCCTTGCCTCACCTCCACCGAGAAGGGGCCGAGACTCTGGAGTCCCAACCACTCTTTCTCCTCTGCTATTGTATTCTTCCTACCCTGATCCTGATTCTGATGCTCTTGCAATGGGGTGCTCTGTCCTCTACCTCTGCCGCCTTTCCTACTATTGCTAATGCCTGGGGATCTGGAGAAAGAGGCCAGTTGACTTCTGCCTGCACTTCTCAAGTTCTTTACATCTGCTTTTCTGACCCTGTCTTCCACCCCTCTGTCGCTCCGCCACTTGTCTCCCAATGCTCACCTTCAGCATATGTCTATTTTCTGTGAAGTCTGAACTGCCTTTTTCTGCGATCTCCTCTACGACCTCTGTTGACTGTACGGAAGAAAGAGATAAATAATGATCTTTGTTTCACCCAAAGCATCACCTTTCTCCCAACTTGCTTGCAAGTCTGGCCACTGGGAGTCCCAAGCCAGGCAGTGAGCCAGAGACTCGGAGGGTCTGTGGAGGTCTCCAAACAGCCCAGTGGCTTTGCAAAAAGGCAATAGGTTCTGGCTATGAACACAGCTCAAGGGCTGGGAAGGTTTACCCTGGTAGAGTAAGTGGGCACTAATTATTTTACCTCGTAGCTCACCTCCAGCTCTCTCAGATTAGAAGAGAGTTTTCACAGTCCCCAATTCATTCTGACTGCTCCATGTGCCCAGAGGATAAGGGGTTCCAAAGAAGACCCTAAGTAGCCAACAAGAAACCTCTCTCAGAGACACAGAAAGAGACAGTGACAGAAACTCACAAACATGCGCAGAGACACGTTCACGGACACACACAAATAAAAACAGATATCCTGAAATACAACTCACCCCCTCCAAAAAAAAAAAAAAAAAGATGAAAAGCAAGACTGTGATAATCCAGACTAACACCATGAACCACAGGCTCCATAGCAGTCCCTGGACACAGAGACAGAGGCACACAGATGTGCATCAAGAGACACAGTCACCTCAAATTGTACGTAAAGGAGACAGTGTCCATGGGCACTGGACACCCAGACCTGCCCAGGCCAAGTTAAAGTCTCAACCAGAAGATGAGAATCCCCAGGTGCATTTGAAACAACGCCTCTCTGCAACACCCCAGGCAGAAACCTTCCCAGGACCAGAGTGAAAATGAAAGTGCTGGAAGGCCCACAGGCTTCCTAGAATGCTGGCCCCATTAATAGCAAAGGCCACGGCCCTGGTGTCCCCCAGTCCTGATTAAGTCCAAGTCCTTCTCTACCTGCCAGGTCTGCCCAGGGCCCTTCCTCACTCCACCTCCACCTGGGAGCTTAGGGGCCTTCTGGGAGAGCCCCGACTGGAAAAGGGGAGTGCAGGCAAGCAGAGAGAGCTGGTGACTGCTGAAGTTCACATACATTTATTCAATTGACACCAATGGGGGTGGAGGGACAGATTTTTCTTTTCTTCCACACAAACCATCAGATGATTTCACAGAATCTCCCCGAAGTAGAGCAGTCTAAATCGATGCACACCCAGTGGACAGAGAACTCAGGTAGCAGCCCGCTGTACAGATATTTACACATAATTACAGGACCCCCTGCCACAGGATGTGCCCTCACCCACCCCACCCCCACACCTCTCCAGACCCTGCCCCAGACCCTCCTCTCCCACCCCAACCACACTGCCTTTAGCTACAATAAATATCCCAGGGCCTGGGGCAGAGAAGGACGCTCAGAGGGCTGCTGGCCCTGGGTGGCTGGACCCCGCCGGCCACAGAAAAGGGGGAAAGTTCCTTCAAAATCATCCAACATAAAAGAGGGAGGACTTTCCTCACTGGAGTGGTATCCAGGGTTTCCCCAACAATAGTGGAGGGCCCTTGCTTCACCTCTCCCTTCAGCTTCTCCTGTGTAGACACTGCTTTAGGCTTCGGAGCGAACAAACTTCCTTGAAGAACAATAAGGGGGAGAGGGAGAGGTGAATTTTTCTTTTAAGCACAAAGCGGATAACAGGCGTCTTTAAATTATCGTATTGGAAAAGCAGAGCCGCAGGTCGGGGGAGGGCTGAGGGAGAGGCAGAAAGGGAGCCCTCCCTGCGCAGTTGGTGTTTCTGGCGGGATCCGCTGGGCCTGGGCAGGCATCTTTCCGGGAAAGCATTCTTCGTTCTGGGGCCGACGCGGGGGCGCAGAGGCCGGGGAGAGCGAGGGCTACCCTCTCCCCCTTGACTGCCCAAACTGGAGCGGGATCTCACGGCTGGCGACCTCGTCGCGTAGACCCGGGCCTCTCCCTGAGCGTCGGAGCCCGCTTCGTCCCAACTGTCGGCAAGATTCTGAGTGTGGAGCCCCAAGTGCCAAGTCTCGCGCGCCGGCCCAGGGTCTGGAGACTCTTCATAAATAGACTCCCTGAGTTCCGCTGGGGCCGCTGGAGCTCCCGGGAGAGGCTGCGGAGTGCGGGGCTGGCTGGCCCTGAGCCGCACGCGGTCAGAAGTGGCAGCCACTGAGGCTGGCGACTTTGCCGGCAAACGGCGTCCCTGAGGACAGGAGCGCGTCCCCGGGGTGCGAGAGGCGGATGTGGCCGGCCACTGGAGCCAGGGCCGGCGAAGTCAGCATGGCCAGGACCTGGGCTTGACCCCCAGGACCCGCCGCCGCGAACGGCGATCCCGGGGAGCCCTCGCCCCCGCCCGGGGGGGCTGCCCCGCCGCCACCGTGGCCCATGATGTGGTCTATAGAGAAGGAAGGCCGCTGCCCGGGCCCGGCGCCCCCGCCGCCCACGCCGCCGCCCGCGTCCGTCTTGAGGCCCTGGCGCAGCAGTGCGGTGGGCAGGCCGGCCGCGGTGCCGGCCGCGGGCGGGCTCAGCGACGCGGGGTAGAACGCCTTGGCGCAGCCCAGCTCGGCGCCCAGGAAAGCGGGCAGGCCGGCGGGGCCCGGGCCGGACCCCGTGCCCGGGGCGGGCGCCGGCGCGGGCGCCGAGGCTGCCCCCGCGAAGACCGAGGCCGTCGGAGGTCCGGGTGGAGGCGCGGCCGCGCGGCCTGGGGGCACAGACAGCTGGCAGGGCGCGGCGGCCGCGGCGAAGGCGAAGGCGTGCGGGTGCGGGTGCGGGGCCGGGCCCGGCGGGGGCGCGCCGTAGGCCGGGAGCGCCAAGCCGTAGCCGTAGCCGTAGGCGCCGTAGGCGGCGAAGCCGGGCAGGAAGGCGCCCGGGTCCCCCGCGGCCGCGGCCCCGCCGCGCAGCAGCAGCTCGGGGTGCGGGTGCGCGTGCGGGTGCGGCGCGGGCAGCGGCTGCCGCTTGAAGCGCTTGCGGCGCCGCAGGAAGCTGCCGTTGTCGAACATGTCGGCCGACTCGGGGTCCAGCGTCCAGTAGTTGCCCTTGCCGGGGTTGCCGGGCTCGCGGGGGATCTTGACGAAGCAGTCGTTGAGCGAGAGGTTGTGGCGGATGCTGTTCTGCCAGGCGGGGAACTTCTCCCGGTAGTAGGGGAAGCGGCCGCTGATGAACTCGCAGATCTCGCTCAGCGTGAGCCGCTTCTTGGGGCTCTGCAGGATGGCCATGGTGATGAGCGCGATGTACGAGTAGGGCGGCTTCACCAGCGGGCTCCGCGTCGCCGCGCCCCCCGACGGCGGCCCCGGCCCGGGGCCCGCCGCCCCCCGGGCCGCCGCCGCCCCCGGCCCGGGGCTCCCCGCGGCGGCCGCGGCCCCCGGGGCGCCAGCGTGCGGGGCTCGCCGTCCGAGCAGCCGCCCGACTCCTCCTCGTCCTCGGCGGCGTCCGCCTCGGCTTCCTCCGGGGCAGGCTCGGGGCCGTGGGGGAGCACGTCCCGGGGGGCGCGGGGCCCCGAGCGGGCGGGGAGCTCCCCCCCGCCGCCGCCGCCGCCCACCACGTCTATATCTGCGTCGGCCTCGGACAGCGCGGCCGGGGAGCTCTCGGAGGACATGATCTCGCAGCAGCAGCTGCCCAGGGTCATGGTGCCGCGCCGCCGCCGGTCTCCGGCTCCGCTCCAGCCGTGGCTCGGGCTCCGCCGCGCTGCCTCTGGGGCGAGTGTGTTTTGCGCGCGGGCGGGGAGGGGGCGGGGGACGGAGGCGGGCGGGGAGGGGAGTCCCCCCCCCCGGCTCCGCAGCGCCCCCTGGCGGCCAGCGAGGCCGCGCTCACCTCTGGGAGAGCACCCCACCGGCCGCGCGCGACGCCGCCCCGGGAGTGCCCGGTGGGGGCGGGCGCCCCGCGCGCGGGGGAAGAGCGGAGCCTTCCCTAACCCTGGCCGGCCTCGGCCCCCCGGCGCCCGAGCCGGGGGTGGGGGGTGTCGGGGACTAGCCCTCCCGCCTAGCGGCTGCCCAAGGCGGAAGAGCGCGAGGCCGGGGCGGAGCTCCCGGAACGGGGTGAGGCGGGGCGGGCGCGGGGGCGGGCGTGCGCCTCCGCGGAGGGGCCCGGCGGGAACCAACAGCCGCCGCGGCGGGAGCTGGGCTGGGGTGGCGGAGGCGGGTCCTCCTGCTCCCCGCAGATCCCGCAGGCCCTCCGGCCCCTGGAGCCACTGCATTCAGCGCGCTCAGCCCCTGGATGTCGAGGTGCTAGCGGGCGCCGGCCGGAGCTGGGACGGGGCGCATCGGCCCACCCCGTCATCTCTCCCCGGAGACAGCACCCAGGCCGCCGCGGCCGAAGCGCAGAGGGAGCGCGAGCCTGAGACGCCGGGACTCCCGCCGCCGGAGTGGGACCCGCGGGAGCGCGAGCGACTGGGTCCGGCCCAAGGGGAGACGGGCTGGAGTGATCCGCCGAGGAGCAAACTCGGGGCTCCCGGCTTCCAGAGGTGAGAGATTCCACTACACCCCCCTCCTCGCGTCCAAGACCCGGAGCCCGCCGCCCACCCCGTGGCGCGCGCCCCGGGACCCCCGACGCGGGAGTGCGCGCGGAGAACCCCGGGGAGCTCCCTGCCTGCCTGTCACCCCCGCCCCGAAACTTCTGTGCGGCGCTGAGGCCGCGCTCGCGGAACGCGGACCCGGCCATCGCTCCGAGGGTGCCTTTACTTGGCTCTTCCCCCGGGTCGGTACCCGTTTGTCTCAGGCTTTGTGACTGTGACTCTCTCGCCCTCGCTGAATCTGTCTCGGTCTCCCGTGGAAACCCTGCAGCGGTCTGGGGGTCTGCTCGTGCACTTGGGGCTCTCGCCCTCAATTTCCCCCTCTCCTCCCAGTCGCACTGCGGGGGCTCCCTTTCTGGCGGGACCGCAGGCGCTGTAGACCGGCGGCAGGACCCCACGGAGATCCACCCTGATCCCAGCCCCAGCCTATACTGGCTTCGTCTCTAGGGGTGTCTTGCACAAAAGTGGGTCCTGTGACCTTTTTCTTTGCAGCCGGGTTCCTGTCCATCCCATTAGGCCTTTTTCTCCCCTGGCCTCCCTCCCCGAATGCAGCCACCCTTAACTCCAGCTCAGACTGCGCCCATCTCAGCCTCTGCGGGGCTGTGGAAGGGAAGTCGGGCGCTGGATGTGGGCAAGAACTGAGCGGCGGGACGGGCTGCTGCCGGGACAGCGCCGCGCAGTGGTCAAAGCTGGGGCCTGCGAGGCCTCAGCCCCACCCCTGCGCCCGGCCGCCGCCGCGGGCTGTGCGATTGTCAGCGAGTTACCGCCCCTTCCGAGCCTCAGTTTCCTGCAAAGTGGTTAAGAGCGGGGACCCTGCCTTCGGGTTGCTGGCGTCCCGATCCTGGTGTCACTACTTACCAGCTCTGTCACCTTAGATCGGTTTCTTAAACTCTGCCTCTGTTTCTTCCTCTGTAAAAATGAAATTAAAAACACCTCGTGATGACTATGACTAATATGTGAAAGTAGCCACACCGCTCACTGCTCTAGGCTACTGAGGGAGAGGGTATTGGGAGGACCTCGCAGACTTCTTGGGGCTCTGTTCTCTGAAAGAGAAAGGGACTGTGGTGGTGGTGTCTCCCACCTGGATCCAGAGCACTGATCTAGAACACGCACCCCCATTACTGCTGCCATCGAATCCTCTCCCATTGCTACAAAAATGAGGTCCCCTATGAATAAGTCCCTATAAATAAGATGGTGGAGGGGAATGTGCAGCCCCTGTAGGCTGTATCTCAGCAGAGCCCATGTGAGGGTGGACAAGTTCTCCTTTTCATCCAACAGCAGCCTCCAGTCTATGAAACAAATACAAATCTATTCCACACGTAGCATAAGAAGGTCCAGAAGGTGGGGAGAACTCTGATCCAGGAGTTACCAGAGCAGTCCTTGTCATGAAATGCCCATGATAGAATTCTCCATCCTCCTGAGCCATGGGGCTAAGAGCAGAGAAGGGTGAGAGGTAGGTTTGGCAGGTCATAACCTATGACCCCTTCTGGGGTCTCAGACCCCAGGGGATCCATAAGTAGACTGTCCTTAGGAAAAGGAGAAGAGGTCTAATCTTCAAAGCATGAAAAGGAAATTGGGCAGGGACTAGTAACACTAGAATTGAATTTTCTAGGTGGTAGGGCTCTTCAGGAAAACAAAAAAATGGGGGGGCGCTAGAAGAGAAGTTTCTTGCAGGCGTTTACATAAACTCGCATACCTAGGTTGCTAAACTTAGCAGATTTAACTGGCAACCCTCCAGATATCCCAAGCTTGCTCTACTACATGAAGACCTCTCTCACACTCAGACATGCCACAGTCTACCCACACCAACCCTAGCCCAGCTCAGCTCAGTCCTACTGTCTAAGTAAATATAGAGAAAAACAGCAAAGGCGTCGTCCTACTGCAGCTCACCATCTGATACCTTCACTTCAAAACGGTAGCTTCTTTCCTTCCCAGTGCTCTCCTTATCCCCCAGGTTCCAGCCTCCTGCCCAGCTTCAGGGAAAGATTGATCGAGGTATTCAAGACCCCAAAATCCTGTTTCTACTGCACCAGGGGAAATGCTCTATGGAGCAGCTGCAGCCACCAGCCAGTGCCTCTGTTTGGCTCTGTTGCACACTTGCTGCTGCTGAGATCCAGGTTGGGGGAAAGGGATATAGATTGCCCCACACACACACACCAGCCACTGTCTGCAAGAGGAGAGTGGCCAGGATCTTAAAGAGGCCATAAAAACACACACCCACACTTTTATAGGAGTGGAGACGGGTCCAGAAGATCACATGACTTGCCAGGCTTTTGAAAGACTGGAGTTGGTATGAGGAATCCTAGTTGAGAGCTCCTCTATTTCTCTGAATAACTCTCTGCTTAGCCCTGACCTAGTTTTACTCTTGCCTGTAGGTATTTCTGGGAGCCTCTCATCTCTTTCAAGGCTCTGGGTCAATTTGTTTTGAACAATGCCAGGAGTAGGTGCACTGGGGGCTGGTTCAGTACTGTTAAAGATTCTTTGGTCCTGTACCCTTTTTCTCTCCAGCCTGGTGGTTCCTGTTTTTCTGGCCTGGGGGCTGAGCCTCTTTGAGGGCTGGGGGGCATCTGCACCGGTGGGAGTTGGCTGCTCCCTTCTGGGAAAACCTGGGCACTTTCCAGAAGCCTGTGCCCAGCACCCATGCCAGCAGCCCCAAGAAGCAGGAGGGAATGGCCTCTGCGGTCTTAGTTATAGTGGCCCTGGTCGTGCTGACTCCTTCAGCTTCATTGTTTGGCCATCCCCGTAAAGCAGCCCGAATCAACGGGGAGCACGCGTTTGAAGGGTGCCTGTTCTGGGTTTCCCATCTCAAAATGTTCCGTAACCGCAGAGAAATTGTGGCGTATATGTTGTGATCCGTTGTCAGGGGTGGCCCTCCCCTCCCTTCTTATGACCCCTGTGGACGTGTTGTGCTCTTCCACTCCAGGGAAATGAGAGCTCTCGGTTGATTATGAGAAAATAATCGAGTCGATCGTGAAACTGGAGAAGAGCAGCGCGGAGCTGAAGGCGGGAACCTAGGGCCAAACCATCCCACGCGGCCTTGCGGGTTCTGGAGCTCCCTGCGCGATGAGACCCTCCTTTCCGTGCCGCGCGGCGGCGCAGCCTGAGCTGGGCCGGGGGACGCCGCGCCTGCCCGCTCCCAGGTTACTCACAGCCTGACGGGCCTCGGGGATAGCGGAGCTCCGGGCGTATCCTCCCGACCCTACCGCCACGGCCGCGGCTCCGAGCCAGCCGGTTGTTTGGAGGCAGCGGGTATGTCTTTCCATCCCATTCTCCACCCAGATCTTCGCCCGCTCAAAAGCCTTCGGCTCCGGTGGCCCCGGGGGGTGGGGCGGGGAAACTCCAGACCTTGTGACCTGCAGGGGCTCTCCTTACAAAGGAGCGGGGCTCCGGGTTAGAGTTCAGGGGGAGGCCGGACCCTCTGCCAGCTGCCAGCACAGAAATGTCTGGGCCTCCAACGTGTGCGCCTTCACCCCTGCTGCCCACCTGCGTCTTTGTGGAGCCCCGCGCCCTTCGGCCGGCGTACACCTCTCTTCTCGGAAGAAATTTTTATCTCTATCCCAATATTATGCCTGACTTGGGCCCCCTCCAGGTCTCATCTACGCCGGGACCACGTGGTGGGGGTCTCGCCCGAGCACCCCGCGGCCGCAGCAGTGCGCGGCAGCTGAGACTAGAGCGAGCTTCGGGATCTGTCGCCTCGTCCTTCGTGGGAAGAGGGTTTCTGGCGCAGGAGAGCGTGGAAACAGCGCCCGCAGAGACCAACATTAAACACGCAACACACGCTGAGAACAGATGTGCAGCGACGGAGCAGTGGACACTTCCAAATGTGCTGGAGCCTCAGCCTCAGCCCCTGCTGTCTAAAGGTCTGAGTTTCCGGATCTGAGAGTCTTTCTCTGCCCCGTCGGCCCTTCCGGGGGACAGTGGCTCTGCGTGCCCAAGTATGTCCCTAAGCCACCGGTGCCTGTCCTGATCCGCCCCTCCCAGCTGTGCCAAGGATTGCCCTGGAAGGCTCGCCACCAACTTTACCCCAGAGTCTAAAGCAGCGCGACCTCGTCCGGGACTGCAAACTCGCCCTGGGCCCATAAGGACACCAGGCGCAGAAGGAGGATGTTTCTGGCTCCAGCCTGAGCAAGGATTTGTGACAGCGGCAGGGAGAGGGCAGAGAGCACACCCTGACAGTGCAGGAGGGTCGGGAAGACTGTAGTGGGGCCAGGGGGTAGGCTCCTTACCATCTACACCCCATCTGCCGGAGCAGCAATACCATTGAACCGGATGCCCTTGGGACCCCAGAATTGGGGCAGGAGGGGGCAGAGCCACTGGAATTCCACCACTCAAAGCACAAGCACAGGCTGGGTGCTTCACCATTAGCTTGGGGAGCCCTAGGCAAGGTAAACCGTGAACCGTTAGTCCCCACATAGGGGAAGAAATGTGGCCTGGAGCCCGAGCCTTCTGGAGCTGAGCTGGGTAGTGTTACCCCGCAGAAGGGGAGCTAGGGAACCCACGAGTGCCATTGTCATACAGGTGCTGGCGACTGATTCCTGGGAAACAGCGACCTCTGGAGGAGCCACCATCCATGCCAAGAGTCAGGAACTGGACCACTGACAGGACTGGGACCATCCCCACTTCATCAGTTAACAAAGTCACCCCAGACTCAAAGCCATTCCCTACTCCTCTTCGCCCATGCTTGATTCCTTTCCCAGCCTGTACCCTACCTTCAAATCCTGCCTCTGCCAGGAAGAAGCCTTCTCTGGAGCCCAAGTCAGCTTCCCTTTTTCCTGCTCTCAGCTCCTCAAACCAAAAGCTTTATCCCAGGACTTGAGGCTTGCTCCTGCCACCACACTGCACTGTCAACTAACCCATTCCCTGTCCGGCCCTTCTCCAAAGAGGCCATTCTTCCAGCCATTCACCCACCTCTGCATTGCTGGATGTGCTGTTTTTCTTTCCCCAGAAAATAAAACCAGAGTCATTTATCCCAAAATTGAACTCTAGGTTTTCAAAGCTCATTTGCCAGATGAGGAAACTAAGATGCAGAGAGAGGACTGATTTGCCTTAGGGCACACAGTAAATTGGTAGGAGAGGTGAGACTATCCCTATTCTGTTTTCCAGGTCAGAGTCCTCTCCATTTCACCTGGATGGCATGCAGGTAAAGGTGAGAAAGGGATCATTTTTATGGGGTGAGGTCTGGGTGGGAGAGTTTGGGCATAGAGGAGAAATGCAGGTGGGAACTCTAAAGGGGGGGTCACTGCTCTAGGTTGGGGCAGTCAGGAAGGCAGATAGGGCAGCCCCACTAATAGCTCTGTCTCTTCCTCCCCAACCCAGGCCCAGATTAGGCTACTATGAAGGGTTCCAAATTCCAGGGCTTGGCCAAGTGTCTTAAATAGCAGGCAGGTGGGATTGGAGGCTGGGAACTACCCAATTCAGACAAATCTCACTTACCTCCTTGCCCCAGGAAGGAAGGGAGGGACCCAGAAACCTTTCCTGCTAATATCCAGAGGGTGCTGCTAACACCACAGAGCAACTGGAAGAGGCCCAGAGGGTTATTGTGTATAATTTGTAGGAGGCCCTGGTCCTATCAGCCACTCGCCTGAGGCCTTCTCAGAGAAGCTTCACTTTCTGGGCATCTTGTGCTCGTCAACAGCCTGTCCCATGCCTGCTTGTCCAGCCTTACCCCCGGCCCCTGCACTGCACTCCTATCTGGTTTGTTTTCTCACCTCTTCACCTGTGCAGAGGCTTGTTCCTGCCTGGTTTGCTCCTCCTGATCTGTCCATTTCCAGTGTCAAGCTTTATGAGATGCTTCCCTCCGAAAACACCCCACACTTGCCTGACTGAGGGGCCCCCACCTTTGTGCACCCGAAATTCCCTCATGGTTTGTCTGCCAGCTCCTATCAACTGTAGAACAGGTATTAAATTGTCTTCATCCTCATCTTCCCTCGTCTATAAATTGGGGATAATGGTTGTACCACACTTATTGAATTATGATGATAAAATGAGATAATGCCTATAAAGCCCAGTGCCTGAAACTTTATAAGTTCATAAATGTTTCTCATCATTGTCATCACTATTAATCACTATGCCTCCTGCCAGATGCAAAACCTGACACATATAGGTGCTCAATTAATGTTAGACATATGAATACTTGAATGAATGAATGAGTGAATGAATGGTGTGACAATCCTTCTTGTCTGGGACTCCCCAGAAAGCTAGCTTACATAATCAATAGAAATACATGTTCTCTGAGGACATTGTTTTTCCCCCATCAGTCCCCATCCCTGCAGGGAGAACATGCCCCCTCATCACAGAGCGTTTTCCCATGACTCCTGAAGTCATGAGATTTCTTGCTTATGCTCTTTGCCTCAGTTTCTCACTTTTAAAAATAGTTTTGACAAATCAAACTAGCCAATCCCTGCCATAATATTCCTGCTTTATATGACAGAACTCTATCTCCTTTGTATGGTAGGCTGAACATGTTTTCAGTTTTAGGGTACCCCAACGCTGAGTTGAGTAAGACCTCTTCTTCCGTGTTCCATGTGGTCCTAATGGGACTGTCCAATCTCTGTTCCCCTCACAGGTAACTTGACTGGGTCAAACAGAGCATTTCAAGTTCAAGGCCCAGTGATTGGTCCAGGAACAAGCAAGCGACCTAAGTCGAGGCAATCACTGCTTCTACAAGAGTTGATATTGGAACGCAGAGATCTACGGACTCTGGGACTTTAGGCAGGTGCTTCTCCCTTTGGATCAGAAGCTAGGCATACATACTTAGCTGCCAGAGGCCATTGTTCCTGCCATGAGCAGAGTTCTGTTTGACACTGAAGTACATAAACAGCCCAACAAGAGGCAGATTAGAAACAATGTTGAGTCCCTGGATCAAGCTGTGCCTGAAACTCTAGATCACTTAGACTTTCCAGACATCCAATAGCAATTCCCCCTTTTCCTTAAGTTAGACTGGATGGATTATCTTTTTTTGAGTTGAATTTTACAAACAGCAACTGACCTTAACCTTAATTAGTAGAGGAAGGGATGGGAATGTGTCCTATGGACATAACAGATCAGTCTACAGTTGTATGCTTAGGAATAAAGCATTCAGGGTTGATACAGCTGCCACACACACCCCTCCCAAATCTCTACAGGGCTGACTTGGGGCAGGGAGGCTGAGACAAAAGGGAGCCTGAAAGTGGTAAGAGATTCAATTTCTGTGACTCCACGAAAGGAACACATTCCAGCTGGGCTGTTCCTCATGGACATGATACGTACTTCCATGGTAGTGAGCCCCCATCCCTGGAAATGCTTGAGTGGAGGCTAGTAATCCTTGGGTAGGAATCTCAAAGGCATCTCAGTACAGCAGAACAGGTCTTAAAGCTGGGTTCAATGTCTGCTCCACCACTGCTTAGTGTTTCTAAGACAAATAAGATCAATAATCTCTCTAAGCCTCAGTTTCCTCATTTGTAAAGTATCCAGAGAACTAGGTTAGAGATACAGACCAAAGTTGCATAGCTTGCCACCTCTCAGGGACTCTTGAGACCTATTATTATTGGAACTAACTATGGGGTCAGGACGCCTCTGTGAGATCCTTCGATTTCCTCTCTCACCATGACATATTTGAGGACGCCTACTTGAACCTGCCAATAATGCACCTCCCCGTGGTTTGTTCATGTGAATGGACAGAGCAGTGTAGCCTGACTGGAGAGGCATGGGCTCTACTCCAGTCCTGCCCCTGCCTTCCTGTGTCACCTCAGACATGCCTCTGTCCTTCCTTCCCAGATCCTCAGTTCCCTTGTGTGAGAAGTGCCTCCTGTGTTCTAGACAGTCTGGCTGTAGAATCGGGACTCTTAACTACTTACAATGCCAAATGAGCAATTGCATTCACGGTCAGAATACTAATCATGTTTCTGCATGGTGTTGCCCTGTACAGTCTCCTCGGCCTGCCAGAACAGGCTCCCCACTCATCCCAGCCTACTCAGCCCCCACTGGCACCGTCTCTGCATGACCTGGCATTGCAGGACCTGGCCAACCCAGAAATCCACAATCTGCTGAGGGTTTTGTTTCCAGCAAGCATGACATGCATGCCTCTCCCTGGGGGTTCTGCATGATCATCCCTCATGAACTTCCTCCCATAAGCTGGGCCACTCCTGTTTGAGGAATTAGAGCCAATGCAATGGGAGATGACACCAGAGAGGAGCGGAGCTTAGAACATGGTTCTGTGGTCAGAGGGAGTCGCAGACAGGGAGGGCAGGGGAGAGAAGATGACAACATGTGGCAGAGGCCCAGACATCTGAGTGGTGGAGGGCCAAAGAGCCCTCCCCCTATACCTGCCACTGAGGCCCGGGGTTTGAGAGCCAGAAAGGAGGAGCCTGGACAGATGGACCCAGAGGCTAAAACATCTGACAAGGGGTCCTGGTGAGAGACTCTGATGAGGAGGAGGGCAGTGAGTTCTGAGAAGTGCAGCTCTAACCATCATTAAGGGTCCATCCCATTGAGAAATCCCGGGGTATAGCTGCCCAAAGGACCTGTACAACCCTGCAGGGGGCATGGCATCCTGCCCGTGGCTGTATAGAAACACGCTTCTCAGAATTTTTCCTGCAGATCTACCTGCACACAATGACAGGGCACCGGGAGAGCTTATCAAAGGCCACTGGGGAAAGGGGAAGGGTTGGAAACAATGTGAATGCCCAAGGATGGGGGGCCGGTGAAGCAAATGGTGGCCTATCTATGTAAGAACAGCTTGATCTGTAAATAAGGTTGTTTATATATTGATCTGGAAGGAGCTCCAAGACATTGTCCAGTGGAAAAAAGAGAAGATAGATAACAGTGTAAATATTATGCTTCCAGTTGTGTGTTTGTTTGTTTTTAAGGAGAAAATAAAGTCTATATTGGTTTATATATGCAACAAAAATATCTAGGAGGGTGAATTTAAAAAACAGGGAACAAAAATGGAAGAGAGACTTTTCACTGATTACTTTTTTATACTTTTAAAGCCAAGAAAACTTAGTACCTACTCAACGGTTAAATAAATACTTTCAAAGAAACAATGGAATCATTCCAATAAATAAGACTGAGCGTGCAGCACCCGAGGGTAATAAAACCTGTTACTGTGTGCTGGACACTGAACACTTCAGGCTCCAACCGCACGTGTGGTGGCAGCTGATGAGCTGAAGGTAGGACAGGGCAACTGGTAGGTGCCTGTGAGCACTCCTGTTTGCCCACCAGGCAGGAAGTGGGTGAGTTTGCTAGCTCAGGCCCCAGATCTTCCACCCTCCTTCCCTCCTCTCTAGGTCCCACTGCTTTGGCAGCAGTCAGACTTCTTCAGTCTACCCGACTGGACAGGGATCAGGATGAAAGAAAAGGGGTTTCATAGAAAAGGTTCAGCAGGCCTTCCCTTCCCTCCTTCAAAACTCCCAACCAGGGCCTCCCTGGTGGTGCAAGGGGTTCAGTCTCAGCACTAGGAAGCTAGCCCAAGCCACTGCAGCATGAGTTTGATCGTTGGCCAGCCAGGGAGCTGACTCACATGGCACAGCAGACCTCTCCTGACTTGCCCACTGCTCCCCTCAGCAGTGTATTTCAGTCAGTCTGCCTGTTCTGGTCCCCGCTCTGTCTCTGGTGAATCCTCTCACCTCCCACCCCCGCCCCGGCCCCCACACCTCTGGCCTGTACCCAGTTCTTGTATGCATAAATAAATAAATCTTAAAAAAAAAAAAAAAAAACAAAGTTCAGGTGGAAGTATCTACATGCCCTGCCCTGGCCAGGCTGCCTGATCAGGGAGACAGTCTGCTGAACAGAGAACACACAGGCCTGTGTGTCTTGGGAAGCCCACAGCCTGGCAGAGTAGAGTATCACCAGCCACTGCAGCAATTATAATGACCAGCCCCATCCAGGCAGAGAGGGCAGAACACAGTGTCCCTGTTTGAAGGTAGCCTGAGGCTGAACTCAAGGCAGAGGCCTGATCTGGTAAGTGACCGAGATGACCTAAAGCACCCCCTCTTATCAGTGCTCTGCGTACAATATTGCCACGCACCTACATTTGACTCCTCTGAGCAAGGCCGGGTCCTCACCTGAGGGGCAGTCAGGAGCCTGAAGAAAGTTGTACATTGCTGTGAAGGACAGAGAAATGAAAAGAATTTAAGACTTAGACTAGACTTAGACTAGACTTCAGGTTTCCTGGCCCCAACCCCACATACTTTCTTCTTACAAAGTAAAGGATTCTCTGCACGGAGCACTGCCCACCCCACTCCCATTCCAAGTCCCCTATAGTGGGGCAGCTACCAAGGGTTGCCAAGAGGGATAGAGAAGAGGAAAGATCTGGGAGGGCTCCACAGAAGAACTTCAGCCAGTTTCACCCCTCTTCCACACCAAATAATTGGGTTCTCTACTAGAACAGGTGCCTCTCAGCCACCGGAAGCCACCACAGTCCAAAAAAAGCATCCAAATAGATCTTGGCCTCATTCCACATTTGCAGGCTCAACCCAGGTACACAGAAGGTAGCCAATAGGTGGCGCTTTTGTCTCCACAAAGTTGATATGGGAAGCTGAGGAAAGAGAAAAGCAGAGGAAAGGGGAGGAGAGGGAAGCATGAAAGAGAAAGGCAGCGGAAAAAAGAAAAGGCAAAAGAAATCAAAACTTGTCACTTGACTTGGAAAGGTGTGCTTTAAGATCAGGACTGTGGGTACAAGAAGGGGGAATATTGGAATACTGAACTGAGGAATTTTATTGATGCCTGAGACTGTCAATCCAAGTTTACACCTCCACTTGCTTCTTCTTCAGAGAAAGAGAATAACTTTGGAGTCATTCCAACTTTGGAGTCTTGTTCTGAAAGTCACTTTGCAGCTAGTCCTGGGTAAGTCACTTAATCTTTATGAGCCCCAAATTAATCATTCATAAAGAGGAGTTGATATCTCTAACAATGCCACCTGCATTCCAGGGATAACTGTAATTGATCATGCATTGTTGTAATACCCTACCATGTTCAATTTGCTAATGTTTTGTTGAGGGATTTTGCATCTCCTTTCATACATGAAAGTGGCTATATTTGTGTGTTCATCCCTTCCTTATCAGATTTTGATAATGTAATTAAGTAGAGACTTGGGATGACTTCCATATTTTCTGTGTTCTGGAACAATTGCTATAACTAGAAAAATAGTTTCTTTGCTGTGACGGAATTCATGGGCAAAATCAGCTAGCCTAGGTGCTCTCTGGTGGGGCCTTTGAGGACTGGTCTTTGACAGTGTTTTCTGTTTGTTCTGCACTAACAGGTCTACTGAGATTAGTACTTCTTGAATCAGTCACTCCAGTCAATGACCATAGCCAGGCTTTCAGGGTCAGAGTCAGCATGAGGTTATAATTAAATGGGAAAGTTTATGACCTCAGTGGGATAGGAGGGCTTTAGCCAATGGCTTCTTGTTTCTTTGCCTCAAAGATCAGCTTCTCTCCATGCCACCTTTACCGCCACCAAACCACCATCCTTTCCTGTCTGGTTACTGCAGTAGCCTTTTAATTGTCTCCTGTCCACACCAGAGCTTCCCTTTAATGACATTTTGGGAGCTATATACGTTTGACAATATCCTATGGATTTTAGTATGTACTGTTCACACCTTTATTAATTTATAAATAGTCCACCATAACATCAATTTTCTTCTAGCTTAAGAGTTATTTGGAAAGTGGTTTTAAATTTTCAAGTGCTTAGTTCATTATTCTTATACATATAGGAATTTATGAACATTTTTAATGCATTTTCAAGGTAATAATAATCTTTAAAATAGTTATATTCTGGATCACTTAGATAAACTGCTAAAATCATAAATATCAGACAGCTGATATTTAGAGTCTTCAAGTGTATTCATCAGCAAGTAGCACTCCATTAATTTTGAGATAAGACCAAAATAATGTAGACTGTATAAATAAAGTGCTACATTTGGACTACTTGGTGGCTGGTCTGCTGTATGAAGGAATACCTGCAATTGTGTTCCAAAAAAAAAAAATGTGAATGAAAGTGGTCATCACATGGCTCAAAGTAGGGCAAACCTACGAGACCTAGGGTGGAGCAGCAGGGCCACGTTCAGGGTGCACATGGCTTAGTTTCATCAAAACAATATCTTATTTTACATTTGATTAATGTTATGAACTTCCATTTTTATTTTATAGCTGCTTGAAATTAACTTTTCCTAATTTGCTTTACAGTTGTATAAGAGATACAAATCTAGGGATTTTTAGACCTACACATACTAAATGAGATGATAATAAAAATTAAAGTGGATGAGGATCTACAGAATTTTTTCCCTTTAAAAGGAGGCCACTTCAACCTCCTGCATCATACAAAACCCTCCCACACCTCCTGCTACTATTTTTCTTCACATGGGTTTAAACCAACCCACTCACTAATACTGAAGGCTCTCCATATTTCTTTCTGCCTTCCCAGGTGATGCCTAAGGCCTTGAAGACTGCCTCATGGAGACGCTTCACAGCTATGCGTCCCAGTGTCTAAAAAGCATGTCACCTGCCTATGTACTTAATTTCTCATGTGCAGCATAACGTTGGCATCTTTCCAAAGCTAGGTCCAGCAGGCAACCTACCTAACCAGCCCAGCACCATTCTGGGTCCAAAATGCTCCTTTCAGTGCTCCAAGTCCCCTGATATCAGGAAGCACCCCCTTCACTCTCCTGTTCCTATAAGGAACGCAAAACAGTTTCCCTGCCTTGTTCCTCTTGCCTCACATGCACCCCTCATTTTCATTACAGGGAGCCACTTTCCTGTTCTCCAGAAGGTAGTTGATATTGAACCCAGAAATTAATCTGCCATTCTCCTCTTCCTCAGCTCCCCCAAAATAAAAGTACAAAAAACATAGCTCTGACTCAATCATCTCATTGTCAAAGTGCACACTTACCTTCTCATACTAAAATAATCTTTTTTTCCGATGTGCAGAATTAAAAAAAATTGTATCTCAACTGAAACAAAGAAATATACCAAGGAAAAGGAAGCTATGGAATCCAGAAGGCAGAAGATCCGATACAGGATAGAGATGATAGGAATTCCAAGGATAACAGTGAAGGGAGAGTTCAGGCCCACGTCTGTGCCACCGGCATGGAAAACAATCAGCCAGGACTGGAGCTGGAAGACAGAGGGTCCTGGGAGAGATGCTTCCTGAAAGGAAAAACATGACAACCAAGAGCAATGATAGATTCTCTTACCAGCTGACTTCATGAAAAATTGTACTATATTACTTACTGGAAAATATAGGGAGATTTAGCTATAGGTACAAAAAAGCTAGGCAAACTTGGAAAGACATTGACTCTAGGAAAATGAGAAATTGCACAATACAAAAAATTATAATTATGGTATATAAGTAGCCTATCAGAGTATGATATTTATATAGCAATAATATCAGTAATATAAATGGAAAAACCTAATGTAATAAAAAGGTAGTGATTTGGGTGGGGATATGAAGAGAGAGATTTTAGAGGTAAATGATCGTTTATCTTAATAGGAAGTTAATCACTAGGTTCAAAAGCATGGAAATATGGAAGTATATTCCAAAGAAGACACTTCTAGGGAAGTAGCTACTTCTAGGGAAGAAAGCAGGGGTTCTGAGAGTGGAGCAAGACCCCATTAAAAAAAGGCTTTTATAGCCATAATCATCAAAACTGCATGGTATTGGAACAAGAACAGACATACAGACCAATGGAATCGAATAGAAAATCCAGAAATAAACCCACAGACTTATGGTCAACTAATCTTTGACAAAGGAGCAAAGACTATGCATTGGAGCAAAGAAAGTTTGTTCAATAAATGGTGCTGGGAAAACTGGGTCGCTACATGCAAAAGAATGAAGCTTGACCACTACCTCACACCATACACAAAAATCAACTCAAAATGGATTAAAGAACTAGACATAAGACCTGAAACCATAAAATACATAGAAGGAAATATAGGCGAAACACTACGGGATTTGCACATCAAAGACATCTTTACGGACACATCACCCAAAGCAGTGATAGTGAAGAGAAAGATAAACAGCTGGGACTACATCAAATTAAAGAGCTTCTGCACAGCAAAAGAGACAATAACAAAAACAAAGAGAAACCCCACCAACTGGGAGAACATTTTTGCACCCAACACTAATGATAAAGGACTGATCACAAAAATCTGCAAAGAGCTGATGAGACTCAGCAACAACAAAGAAAATAATCCAGTCAAAAAATGGGCAGAAGAGCTAAAAAGAAACTTCTCTGAAGAGGAAATGCAAATGGCCAACAGACATATGAAAAAATGTTCAACATCACTTGTAATCAGGGAAATGCAAATCAAAACTACCATGAGATACCATCTCACACCAGTGAGAATGGCACATATTAAAAAAACTAGCAACAACAAATGTTGGCGAGGATGTGGAGAAAAAGGAACTCTTGTGCACTGTTGGTGGGAGTGCAAACTGGTCCAACCACTATGGAGAGCTGTGTGGAGATTTCTGGACCTACTAAACATAGAGCTTCCATATGATCCAGCAATTCCACTCCTAGGTATTTACCCAAAGGACACAGAAACATCAATTCCAAAGAGCACCTGCACCCCTATGTTTATAGCAGCACTGTTTACAATAGCTAAGCTTTGGAAACAACCCAAATGCCCAAAAATAGATGACTGGATCAAGAAGATGTGGTACATATATACCATGGAATATTACTCAGCATTCAAAAAAGATAAACACATGCAATTTGCAGCAACATGGATGGCACTGGAAGGGATCATGCTCAGCGAAATAAGCCAAAAAGAAAAAGAAAAATACCGGATGGTCTCACTCATAGCAGGAATCTAGAAAACTTAAATAAGGGACCAGGAAAATGAATATAAGAAAGTGAAAATCAAAATCAACAAAAAACTATGAACCAGAGACACTTGTTGGGGGGGGGGGCGGGAGGGGAAGGATTGGGGTCAGAATGGGGCGTTTGCAATTGTATGGGGGAATATAAAAATAAAATTTAATATTAAAAAAAAAAAAAGGCTTTTATTTGACTTGTTAGGTTATATGCTTCTTTCAATTTAATAAAAACAAAAAATTGTTTAAAATGTGCCTTCAGATTATAGATGAATTATAGATGAATTCTAGTTTCCTAAATAATTCTAGTTGGATTATTTTCTCCAAACAGAGGGAAAATCTCACATCCAGAGAAAAAAGTGTTTGGTTGCTTTTTAAGTACAGAGTTATGGTAGGACTTTTGTTCTGGCTTTTCCCCACATCTACCACAGTGTCAAAATTTTTAGGGCACTAATGACAAATCTTTCCAGACAGTAAACTCCATAAGGGCATAAATAGTCTCGCGTTTGCATCTGTATAGGCCCTGGCAAGTAGTAGAAAGTCTAGCTCTCCACTATTTGAGTACAGCTTCTCAAAAATCAAAATAAAATTTTCTTCTTCAAATGGTGTTACACACCGCCTCTTAATAAGTTCCTTGCCAATCCAAGATATGTCCAAGGAAGGCAAGGACCCCTTCCCCTCTACTGAAGCCCTGAAGTGCTTCCTGCTACTTGCTGGGCCACAGAGAGAGGCAACTTCCTCACTGACAAATGAGGAAATAGCCTCCATCTCTACGTCTTTTACTTCTTTTTTTTTTTTAAACTCTTTTTTTTTTTTTGATTGATTTATTTATTTATACAAGCAGTGGGTACAGTCAGAAGCACGGGAGGGTGAGAGAATTCACCAGAGCCAGAGCGGGGAGCAGAGCAGGCAGAAGGACCCAAGTACACTGCTGAGGGGAGCAGCGGGCGGCAGGAGAGGTCTGCGCGCCATGTGGGACCCTGCCCGGCGGCCGGGGATCGAGCTGATGCTGCAGAGGCTGTGGGCAGCTTCGCAACCCAGTGCTCAACTGCTGCGCCACTGGGGAGGCCCTCTACGTCTTTTACTTCTTTTGCAGACCACTGAAAGGATTGCAAATGAGAATGTGTAGAAGGTGCCAGAGAACCGTCAACTCAGTCATTACTCAGTACTAGACACTGGTGTTCATTCATTCATTCAACACATATTAGGTGAAGGGCTGCCATGCATCAGGAAAATAAGTCTGACTTGCTCAAAGGGGCTAATAGCTAGGGGGGTGATGTCAATCCAGAACATTTCATTCCCAACTGCATACCTACTGCCTTCCCAGTTCTTTTTCACATATCCCACACCTTTGCCCTTTGGGGGCTGCCTGCTCCCCACCTCACCCCCCATCACCACCCTGGAGCTTTAAACTTGTATATAAGGAGGTGCATCAGGTATGTCCAAAATGCAAATCACATTCACCCTGGGCTCAGGATACACTGGTCACCCCCCCTCACTCTTGCCCCTACCTAATCTGGAAACTGCTAGACCCAGCCCTGGGTCTGAGGGGGGGGGGGGCTAGGAAAATCCTGATGCTTTTGGCATCAGGCCATTTGGGTCAGTACCAGAAAGCAGGACAAGATCAAAGGTCACTCCCTCACAGGGTAACCTCTGAGTCCCTCCACTCAGTGCTGCCCTGTCCTTGGTATTGTGGACAGCCATGAATCAGCTCAGATGGATGCTGTCCTAGCTCCCAATCCAGCAGGGGAAGTAAGATAGGAGGCCTAGCTAATGGTGCCACATCTAGCTCCAGAAGCGTGCAGGGGTCATGTGGCTCAGTCCCACTCCTTAAAATAGGGGGCCCAGTCCCACTCCTTAAAATAGGGGGCATCAGTCATTAAAATACCCCAGTCTATGCCCAGCACCTTTCCTCTAGAATATTGGAGGAAATCACTAGAATCTCATGATTCAGTGAGTCTGAATCATGGTGAGTCTGAGAGTCTGCATTTCTAACAAGCTCCCTAGTGATGCTGAAGGTCATGTTCCACACCTTGAGAGCAAGGCTTCAGCACTCCTCTCATGTCTCTGAGGAGTAATTGGAGTCATGTCCTTTCCCCACTGGTCCATCAGCCAGAGGTCTTTCCTATTTGTTTACTGATATATTTCGGGCCTAGTACCATGCGTGGCACACTCAATAAATATTTGTTGGAGAAATGGCCAGTGCTCCCTTATCCATGGGAGCTGGAATAACCCCACAGAGCAGACAAAACCACTACTCAAATAAACTCAGGAGAGCGTGTACATGTGTGTGCACACCCCCTTCCCATCTCTACCAGGTTCTGGGACACACAGTTATTGGCATTTTATTAGGGCTACTATGGGTGCAGCTACGTCTTGATCATGTCCTAATCCTAATCCAGATCCTAAACAAAGCTCACTAGCTCCCAGACTACTCCCCGAAGTCACCAGCCAGCAATGGACCCAGAGGCAGGTTTCTGCTTCCATTTTAATTAAACCAGCTTTAATTAATAATAACCTAACAAACCCTAAAATGTCCAGATCTTGGGGCAGCCCACTAACTCCTCTTTCAGTCAGAAGCCCTCGGTGTTCTTGGGTCAGAAGTCTCGGAGAACTGTCCGCGGGACCCCGGGCGGAACAGCCCGGCCAGAATTGTCTGTGGAAGAGGAGCTCTCTTCCAGAGGAAACTGAGGACAAACAAGTAAATGGGGGTGGGAGCCTTGTGGGGAAATGAAGGGAAGACAGCAAAGGCGTCCTGAACCCAAGTGCCTGCCCTCTCCTGCGCTGTAAAAACAAGAAGGCGGGTAGAAGAAAGGAACCAGTCGGGAGGCGGCAGCTTGACACCGAAGGTCTGGGTTCCCAAGGCTGGGGATTCACCCGAGACCAGGGGTGCGGCTCAGTGGTGGTGACCCAGCTCCCGGCCAGGGCCCCAGAACAGCGCCGCGGGAGTGCACGGCGGCCGGGGCCCCGCCGCAGAGGGAGAAGAAATCAGGGACGCACAAATGGGGGTGCAGGGAGAGAGGCACTGGCCCGATGGAGAGATGGCGGCCGTCTCCCCGGGACGGGGGACAGGAAGATGTAACAGGTGTGCTTCGCCCGAGAGGCCAGGCCCGCGCCCCAGGCCCCCGGAGGCGCAGTCGGGCGGCGCTCCCCGCGGCGCGCCAGCCCTGAGGAGACGCGCCCCCGGGCTGCTGAGGGGAGCCTCACAGGTAGCGCTCCAGCCCCGGCGCGAAGCCCGGCGGGCTCAGGTAGGCCTCCCCCGGGCCCAGCGGGCCGAACGCCGCCACGGGCCCCGCCAAGGCCAGGAGGGGCTCAGCAGGGAGGGGGCCGGGGCCGGGGCCGGGGCGCGTCGGGGGCGGCCCCAGGCGGTCGGGGGCGGGCGAGTAGAGCGGCGGGAAGGCGGCGCCGGCGTCGGGCGCGGCGCAGCAGGGCGGCTGGGGGGCGCCGGGCCCGGCCGGCTCGGGCGGCGGGCTCACCAGGCTGTGGACGCTGAAGAGGCGCGGCGGCGGCGGCGCGGGGCCGGGGCCGGGGCCGGGGCCGGGGCGGGCGGGCGGCGGCGCGGGCGGGGCGGGCGCGCAGGGCGCGGAGGGGCGGGGCGGCGGGCGGGCGGCGGGCCCGGGCGGCGCGGCCTCGGGCGGGGGCGGCGGGGCGCGCTTGAAGCGCTGGCGGCGCCGCAGGAAGCTGCCGTGGTCGAACATGCCGGCGGCCGCCGGGTCGAGCGTCCAGTAGTTGCCCTTGCCGGGGTTGCCGGGCTCGCGCGGCACCTTGACGAAGCAGTCGTTGAGCGTGAGGTTGTGGCGGATGCTGTTCTGCCACTTGCGCGGGCCGTCGCGGTAGAAGGCGAAGCGCTCGCTGATGAAGCGGTAGATGGCGGCCAGCGGGAGGCGGCGGCCCGGGGCGTGCGCCAGCGCCATGGCGATGAGCGCGATGTACGAGTAGGGCGGCTTCCCGCGCTGCTGGGGCCGCCGCCGCCGCCGGCCCGGGCCGGGCGCGGGGTCCGGCTCTCCGCGGCCGGGGGCCGCCCCCTCGGGCTCGGGTCCAGGCTGGGCCCCGGCGAGCGGCGACGGCGGCGGCCCCGACGGCGCGACAGACGGCAGAGCTGGGAAGCCCGGACCAGCGGCGGACGGTTCCATGTCGCTGCGCCCGGCCACTGGGGAGCGGCAGCCCTGGCCTTCGCCCTGGAGAGCAGCGGCTGCTGACCCGCCTTATATGGCACAGCCCCCCCGCAACCCCCCATCCGGGAGAGTGCGCTCGGACCTTCCCCCCCTGACCAGCGCGTCCCCTCTGGTTTGCTTTCCCAACCCCCTCTCTAAGCCCACAGCCCCCACCCCACCCTGTATTTCGCCCCTCCCTTCGTCTCTTCCCTTCAGGCCAGTCTTTCCCACACCCAGGCTCATCCCTTCCCCACCAACACTGGGTCAGCCCTCGCCTAGGCTCCATCCATCCTACTGGGGTCAACCCCTACTTCCCTTTTTGCGCCTTGCCTTGCTCAATCTCCTCCTCTTTGGGTCAATGCTAACCACAAATTCACCCATTACTTTTGGCACCCCTTCTCCGAGCCCCCCTTCCCTTTCTGCTGAGTCCCTTCCCCTCCTGCCTCCTCTCCTAGCCTCCTCCAGGTCCTTCCAACCCCAGCTGAGGCAGAGATGACACCCCCTCCTTGGCAGCGTAGCCAGCCATCAGCATTCCTGAGGGTGACCTGGAGGCTGCGCTGGTCAGGGAAGTGTCAGGTCACCCTCGGAGGGACGTTAGTCAGTAGAGAAAGGGTAGGGTCCAGGAAAAGGCAGAGCCACATGTTTGGCTTTGTCTAGGGGAGGATGTTGTCAACTTCAGGGTAACCTCTCCCTGCTACCTCCCCCACACGGGAGTCCTGTTCACCCTACATTCTTTGAAAAACACAAAATCATGAGGGTTCAGCTAACAGATTTGGGAACCAGAGGACTGGTTTAAATCAAGAGCCTCCAGAAAATCTTTAACGGGAAGTTGCTATTCTGGCATGTCCCTTCTGTTGCCCCCCACCGGGGAGGAATCTCCCATTGTCACCCACATAGCATGCAGGGACCATGCACACACCACAGACTTGCACTGCCTCCTAAGTTCCCAGGTGAGTTACTGGGTCAGAGAGAGACACCCCCATCACCCAAGTGCTTCCACAGACTGGAATTTGAGAGAGGTGCTTACTGACCCAGAATGAGCACACTCACATATCACAGAGGCTAGAAGTGGGAGGGGGAATCATAGCTATTTTTATTAAAAACTCTGGGAAACACCCCCCCCCCCCACCATCCAGAGGCAATGCTGTCTTAACACCATTTCAGGAAACTTCCAAAGTGACCAGAGAGCCAGCTGGGCTTGGAGGGAATTATTTGGTCAAGGAATCTTGTCTCAAAGAGCCTTGTCTAAGGGACAGAGGAGATGGGGAACAGAGTGATAATGGGTGAGGCAAGTGGAGTGCCTACAGTTTCTCTCCAAGGGGACCCTGTCTGGGTGGCATGCAGGGCCAGCCCTTGAGGGCCAGGACCTCCTTCAATTTGGGGCCTTAGTTGCCTGGCTTGCCTCACTCTGGGCCTGGTTCTGGCCCTGGCATGGAAGACTGGGTTCAGATGTTTAAGGCTAGCTGCAGCAGGCCTGTGAATGAGCTCCACCATCTCCCTGGGAGCTCAAGGGGCGCCTTCTCCCTGCTCCAGTCCAGCCACTGTTAAAACAGCCACAATTCTGCATATTGTGAACAAGGTCAGCACTTGATGCCCATTATCCCACTTAAGTGTGAACACCTTGTGGGGGACTTGTGAGTACCCCAGTTTTGCAACTGAGGAAAGTAAGGCCCTTAGAGCTTACGTGACCTAGCTAACTTCACACAGAGTTGGTGGCAGAAATTCAATTGGAGTTCAGAGCACTCTTTTTAGAACACCATCTTTTAGAAATAATTTCCTCTAGAATTCTCCCAGCTCTCACAACTTGAGCTGCTAGTCCCTCTCCTGGCCTCCAGGTCAGCAAACCTAAGAGCATATTGGATAGCAACCTTCATGCAGCACACCCTTCAAGCCAACCCGCTCCCCTTCCCCGAGTTCCAGATCTCAGCAGATGGACCTCCTCAAAACCTACCACCCAGAAATGTGGACAACATCTGGGCTCCTACCTCCCCCACATCCAGGCAATCTCTAAACCTGTCAATTCCACATGGACTCCATGTCACCCCTCCTTCTGTTCTGCCTCAGCTTAGCCCACATTGCTCACCAGACACTTCGCAGTGCTCAGAGGCAATGTTATAGGACAGCCCTGATACAAAACGGGGTGCCTGACTGTGGGTCCTCACCCGCGTGCTTAAAAGGACTTATCAAAACTCTACTGCAGGCACACGCGAAAGGTTAATAAAAGGTTTATTTACAAGGGAAGGGGAAATGAGGAAATGTACAACTCAGGGAGAAAAGTGGGAGACAAAGTTTTAAATGCATCCTACCCAATCCACCGATCTGGAATCCCAAATGGTGCTCTGAGAGCTGGCTGCAAGCCAGGAGCCGTGAAGCCAGGAAGTGAGCGAGAGAGTGAGCCCACGTATTTTGTTTTTATACCAAACCTGGCTGCTTAACTCCACCTTCAGGTCCCAGCCACCTTCCCTTTGGTGGTGACGGGATTTGTCTTTCCCAATGTCTTGACGGTTTTGGTCTGGAGTGGGGGTGGAGTCCACAAAGCCTGCATGGAATTAGCTCAGGACATCCTTTCCCCCTAACAGCAAGAGATGAAAGACCCACAATCTGCATGATCTGGTAAAGAGATGGGCACACAGACAACGGCCACCACAAGAGAGGTGGGCAGAAGGGTTGTAGAAGCAGAGGAAGGAGATGACACTAAAATCTAGAGGCCCCACCCCACAACAGATGAGCAGTCAGCCCAGTGTATTCACCGAAGGCCCCACCCCACTGCCCTCTCCACCTCTAACTCTAGGGCCTGAGCCCAGTTCACACCTCACACAAGACATGGTGAACAGCTGGACAGAAAAAGCTAGACAACTGCAGCAGCAGTTTCCTTGCCTGTCGAAGAGGAACAGTGATGAACCCTCTCCTGGTTGGTATGAAATTCAAACGAGGTCCTGGATGAATGTGCCCGGCCTTCATGGGCACTTGGTAATAAGATTTTTTTTTTTTCAATAACACAGCTGGCATTTCCAGTATTAACCCAGAAATAGGAGAGAAACAATTTCAGACTCTGCATGTTTTTTATTTTTTGTTTTTTTAAAGATTTATTTATTTATTTATTTATTTATTTATGCAAGCACTGGGTACAGTCAGAAGTGCAGGGAGAGTGAGAGAATTCACCAGAGCCAGAGCGGGGAGCAGAACAGGCAGAAGAACCGAAGTACACTGCTGAGGGGAGCAGCGGGCGGGCAGGAGAGGTCTGCCCACCATGTGGGACCCTCCTCCTGGTGGCCTGGGAGCAAACAGGCACTGCAAAGGCTGCGGGCAGCTTCGCAACCCAGTGCTCAACCGCTGCGCCATCGGGGAGGCCCTCAGAGTCTGCATGTTTTCAACCAGATTCAGTGTACCCCTGCAGCTCAACTCAGGCACCGAGGCACCATCTTGTCCCACTTTCCTTTAGGGACGTAGCCCCTGGAAAGGTGCCTGGCACAGCCCCTGTGTGGTATCTGCAGATGAGGGTAAAGAGTGCTCTTCCTGCTTCCCACGACAGCCTGCCATTTTCTTGTCCTTTCAATTTTCTAATCCATATGTGGAGCATGGGACATAGGATATTTTCAGTAAACGGTACTGACTATGGAGTAGGCCATACTAACCCTGGGGAGGGTGGGGGTACAGAATTTGGTCAAAGGGGTGAGAACCCAGACTTTTCTAGCTCTCAGTGCCTGCCTGACCCCCTCCAATGGCCTGCTTCCCAGAGCCAAGCAAGCCGGTGTCAGGGGGTAGCCCAAGGGCTAATCCATGTTTTCAGCGTGGCTGGGCCCTCTGTTCACAGGCCCTGGGCCGGATGGGATGTGGCTAAGCATCCGGGCATAAGATGGCCAGTGAAGGCGGCCCCTTTCTCATGGGCCTGGATCCCAGGCAGCCCAGTGTCTGAGTGAAGCCCCTGGGGCAGGAGGAACACAGCGGCTGGGCTGGGCAGCCCTTTGTCTGACCACGCTGGGTGGATATTCAGGCTGGCAGGAGGGATTAGTGGCCAGGGATTGGCCCTGGGGCCGGCCTTCCCACTGCCCTTTGGAGGCCAAAGGCCCAGGTCAGGGCACACAGTGTTGATGGCTCCCTAGATAGGAGAAATTCCCACCCTGTCCAAAGCTGTTAGCATTAACCCCAAGGCTCCCTGCCCCCAAACCCACCTCTATAGTGACACCAGGAGCCAAGACGATTTCAAGGCAAGGAGCAGAGGATGCAGGCAGAGCTTCCCCACCACTCTGCCAGGAGGGAAGTCTGAAGCTGAATGCCACTTTAGGTCCTTAGTCCAATTCCCACCCCCTCTGCAAGAGCCCCATATAAAGATGGGGGGGGGGGTGCAGTGGCAGAACTATTTAAGCTGAGCTATCACCAGACCACGAAAGGGTTCCTGGAATATTGCTCAAACCCCTTTAGTTTGAGTTCACTTCAGAATCACTTCCTCCCAAAGGCCCCCATCAGAGCATCCATAGACCCCATGGCCCAGAGGCTACAGAAGGGGCTTAGGAACCAAAGGAAATCTTAGGGATACCCTCACCCCACCCCCTGCACCCTGTTATCCTTAGGGCTGCTGCAGGGCCTCCTTCCCCTAGCCCCCAAAACTGGAGCTGCCGAGGGTCTAGTTCTTTCCTCGCGAGCCTTTGACCAACAGTTCCAAGCTGGTTGAGGGGCACATTGGGACGTTTGTTGGTGTAGCCTTTTCTAACCAGGCTAGTCCTGAATGAGGGATAGAAGGAGAAGCCCCAGCCTTATTCACACAACCTGACCCTGTTGGTGAGCCCAGTGAGCCGAAGGACCTGTTCCAGGCTCAGGAAAGGGGCAAAGATAGGCCTGGCTTTGGGGAGAGCATCTGTGAAGAACCCAGGAGGAGCCCCACCACCATCACCATCCTCTTGGCGACTCTTCGTTCCTCAAGCACTTCCATTCAGCCGATCCTAAGAGACTGTGTCCAGGGTGCCCAGTGCTCCATCAGTGAGGAGTCCGACTCGTCTCTGCCTTCACTGTGCTCAGCTGCACACACTCCCCATACGAGTTGGTAGGTGTGCAATACAGGCAGAGAAGGGACTGTGGGGTATAAAAGAGAGACCTCATCCAGCTTGGTGAAGTTGGTAAGGCTTCCTGGAGGGCATAAAATTGCAGCTGTCCAGCGTGGCAGCCCCAGGCTGGACGAGAGGCTCACTGTCTGTGCCCCGTGCTGTCCCATCACTGTGCTTCCCTGATTGACTCTTCTGTGTCTGGTTCCCACACTAGACTGTCTCCATGGAGGGCAGGTGCCATATTGCACTCATTTTGGATGCCTGGCTCTCTATTTAGTCAATGACCCTACACAAGCTAATGGTCAATAAACACGTGTCATATGACGGAAAGGGCGCTGGATACCCCAGACCGAGAAAACTATAGATGTAAAGGTCTGAAGGCAAGAGAGTCTGGTTCATTCTGCAGAGTCTGGTTCATTCATGCAAGACTCCGTATTTTTCTAAGAATTACATGAGCTAATATACGTCAAGTTCTCAGGACATATCAGTGCTGTGTGTAAGCTGTTGTTGCTGCCGTAGTGACTATTCGCTGAGCCAGTGTGCAGTGTTAAGGGACCGAGAAAAGAAGGCAGACAAGGTCAGATTGTAGATGACTTTATTTCCAGGTCAAGGAGCTTGGATTTTTCCTTTGAATTGTCAGCAGCCACATGACATAGTCAGATCCCTTGTTCAGATCAGTGTGGCACAGACAACCTGGAAAGGGAAGGGGCTGGAGGCAGAAGGGAGGCTGAGCCTGAGATGGTGTGAACCATGGCTCTGGCTCCAGGGCTGCATGAGACCCTTTGTTTCCTTTCATTCCAGATCAGGACAAAGAACCTCCAGCCGTCTATCCTAGACAATG